GGGAGAAAAGAAAAATTTTGTGGATGGAAGGAATTTTAAAATAGTAAAAAAAAAAAGACAAGTAATATATCAATTTATAGAGATGCAATGAGGCTTGGAATAGTAAAAGTAGAGTCTGATGAGAATTGGATGCTGTGAGTGGCTCGGGTTGTAGTGAGGAAATGTGACACTAAAGAGAACAACAACCCAAGAATTCTTGAAAAATAGAATGTTGTAATTAAATGTAGGAGTTGAGAGAAGGTTACGATAGTCAGCCAAGAAAAGGTGGTTGTTATACAATGGAAAGGAAGTGTCTTTAATGTATGATAGTTGTTGTTGTTGTTGTTGTTATGTGCCCTCGAGTCACCTGCAAGTCATAGCGACCCTATACCCTAACCCCGCCCCGAGAGCGCCGAGCCCCGACGCACGCCGGCCGTGGGGGCGGGGGTCCTGGAAGGGGCGGGGCGCGGGAGAGGAGGGGGCGGGGCCGAGGCCGCCGTCAGCCCGGGCCGCCCCCTACCCATCCCCCGGGCCCCGCCCTGAGAGCGCCGAGCTATAAGTGACGACCGCCGCGGGAGAGGGGCGTGGCGCGGTGGTGGGGGCGTGGTCAGGAGAAGCCCTGGGCCCCGCCCCGAAAGTAGCCAGGTCGCTAGTGACGCCCGCGATGGGGCGGGGAGTGGGCGGGGCAACTGGAGAGGCGGGGGCGGGGCGGAGCCCTCACCGGGCCTAGGGGCCGAATCCACGCGCGTATTACCGGGTCACCCCTGAGGTCCAGCCCACAGGAGCTCTGTCATTATTGGCTTGCAAGGCCCAGATTGGCCGGATGAACCTGCCTTCACTGATTCTTTCCCTGCGTCTGAGCAGTTGCTGCCCTGAGGTAGGCCAAGTCACTGGTTGAACAGTGAAGGAAGTTCTAACCTTTTCTGATCAGGTCTTCTCCTGGGGCCCAGCACTCCCCTTTCATTAATCATGGTAGCACGAAGCTGTCTGCAGAGCCTTGGGGGGATTTTGTGTGAGAAGATGATTTTGTGTGCCTTGGAGTCACCAACACGATGGCGCCTGTGTTGTCCCTCTGAGTCTCTCCACTTGTTAAACACACCAACTCAGTTCTCTCTTCTGACGCTGAGGAAGGAGTCCCTGCCAAGGATATGCCCTAGAGAAGAACCCTCACTGCGCGCTTAGGGTTTTGAAACCAAAATTATTGGACTTGGGAACAGTGTGTAACATCTAGGATGAACAGGCAAAACCTTCTTTTTTTTTTTTTAAAGAGCATTTGACAATAATAACAATGATTTCTATACACGCTCTTTCCTGGGAATTTTATTGTTCTTTTTGGGTCCTGTCTAGTCAACTCATAGTGACCACATGAAGAACACATTGGGATTTTGTGCTATCCTTCGCCCTCCACACAATAGATGCTATGCTTAAGCCCTTTGGTCTGGTAGGTTCTCTTCATAATGACTCCATGGACAACAGAAGAAACACCGCCCAGTAACGTGCCAGCCTTACAATCGTCATCATGTTCGAGCTCCACTATTGTAGCCATTGTGTCCGTCCATATGGTTGAGGATCTCCCTCATTTTTGCTGACTACCAAGCCCAAAATTCTTCTGCAAGGACTAATCTCTCTTGATAATACGACCAAAAGTACATGAGTCTCAGATTATCCTCTCGTCTAAGGAGCATGGAGCAAGGTGGTGCCTTCTTCCTGCCACCACTGAGGAGGTATGCTTGCCACACAATGCTAATTCACCTTACCTAACAATGCCCCATTTACACAATTAAAATTCTATCTTTAAAAGAAATAAAATGAAAACCCAGAAACATTGCACAACATGAGACAGCCCTATAATTTTATCTTACTCTTCAGCGCACAAAACTGCCCTGAACGCTTTGGCAAGGCTTACAACAAGCTCAAACAGAGTTTTCAAAATAGTTGTGTTGGGTAATACTTACCAGTTGATGTGCTTTGTAACATAGGATTCATCACAACATCTTGTGGCAGGGATTAACAGACTTTTGCCTGCAGGTCAGACCCACGACTTGTTTTTGAGCAAGTAGTTTTCCATCGTGTGTGTATGTGTGTGTGTGTGTGTGTGTGTGTGTGTGTGCAAAAACTGGACCAAAAAGAAGTGACACCTTTGTATTGTGGTCCTACTGAGGAATGTGGATTATGGTGGATTATGTCACGGACTGCCAAAAGAACAAACAAATCTGATTTAGAAGAAGTGCAACTAGAATGCTCCATAGAAATATTTTTTCTCAGTACTTTGAATATGTTATCAGGAAGAGGAGGCAGAAGTTCTTTAGAAAGACATCATGCTTAGAAGTTCTTTCAGGTGCTGTTGAGTCAACTAAGACTCATAGTGACCCTGTGAACAACAGATCTGAACCCTGCCCTGCCCTATCCCATCCTCATAAACTCTGCTATACTTGAGCCCATTGTTACAGCCACTGTGAAAATCCATCTCATTGAGGGTCTTCCTTCCTTTTACTGATCCTCCACTTTTGTATGCATGACGTCCTTTTCCAAAGACTGTCCCCTCCTAACAACATGCCCAAAATACATAAAACAGTTTCACCATCCTTGCTTTCAAGGAGTGACCTGGTTGCACCTTGTTTAAGACCTATTTACTCTTTGGACAGTCCATGGGACATTCAGTACTCTTCCTCAACACCACAATCCAACGGCATCAATTCTTCTTCTGTCATCCTTATTCTGTGTCCAATGTTCAAATCATAACAAGTAATTGAAAAGATTATGGTTTGGATTGGGCACACCTTAATCTTTAAGTGGACATCCTTGATCTTTAACACTTCAGAGAGCTCCCTGACAGCAGGATTTTGCAATGCAGCATATCTTTTAATTTTCTGACTGCTTATATCAAGGGTGTTGATTGTAGATCAAGGTAAGATGAAATCATTGACAATTTCTATTTCTTCTCCATTTAGCACGAGGGTTCATGAAAAAGAGGGAGACCATTAGCAAGATGGACCGACAGAATGGTTGTAATTACGGGCTCTTGCACACCCATTGTGAGGATTGTGCAGGACCATACACGTGGGGCCACTGTGGGTCAATGGCACCTTACAAAAACAGCACAATTTTAATGGAAAAGCCTTGGTTTTGTAGAGGTCAAGGGCTCAGCTACTAACCAGAAGATCTGGTTCCTGTCACAGCCACGAATTTGTTCAGATGCATAGACACTTGAGGAAAGCAGACTGCCACAACTTTCTCCTATGGACAGTCTGGTCAATCCAAACCAGTCTTTCAGTTAGCAGCCTAGTGTTCCTTCTCTAAAGCCTAGGAAACCATTTAGAACAGTGCTTTCTTCAATGAGATGGAAAAGACAATCTCCAATTTCATTTGGAATGGAAAGAAGCCCTGAATAAGCAAAGCACTCCTTAAAAAAATAGAAGAAAGGTAGGAGGTATCTCACTCCTTGATTTCAAATCCTACTACACTGCCATGGTGGTCAAGACAGCATGGTACTGGTACAATGACAGACACATGGACCAATGGAATAGAATTGAGAACCCAGAGATCAGCCCATCTACCTATGGTCAGCTGATTTTTGACAAGGAGATGAAATCAATTAAGTGGGGAAACAACAGCCTTTTTAAACAAATGGTGTTGGCAAAATTGGAAAAGTATCTGCAAAAGACTCAAGCAAGATCCACACCTCACTCCATATACAAAAACCAACTCAAGGTGGATCATGAACCTAGGACTAAAATCAAGGACTAAAAACTTCATTAAAGAAAAGCTTAGAAGAACTCTAGAAGTCATAATCCACAACATAAACAGTCTTCCAAGTATTCTGAAAAATCTACAACCAGAAGAAGATAAAATAGATGAATGGGATCTTCTAAGACTCAAATCTCTATGCACATCCAAAAACTTCTCCAACAGGGTAAAAAGGGAAACCACCAACTGGGAAACAGTATTTGACAATGACATATCAGATAAGGGACTTATATCCAGAATTTATAAAATACTTGAGCACCACAAGAAGATAAAGGTAAATAATCCAATAGAAAAATGGGTACAGGATATGAACAGACACTTCACCAAAGAAGACATTCAGATGGCTAAAAAGCACATGAAGAAATGCTCAAAATTCCTAGCTCTAAGAGAGATGCAAATTAAAACAACTGAGATATCATCTCACCCTAGACATAATAGCAAAATTTAACAAAACAGAAAGCAACAAATGTTGGCGAGGTTGTGGAGAAACTGGAACCTTTATCCACTGTTGGTGAGAGTGTAAAATGGTGCAACCACTGTGGAAGGCAGTATGGCACTTTATCAAAAATTTGCAAATAGAGATACCATTTGACCCAGCAATTCCACTACTGGGAATATACCCCCAAGAGACCATAACTGACATCCAAACAGATATATGCATACCCATGTGTATTGCGGCTTTGTTTACAATAGCAAGGAGTTGGAAACAACCTAAGTGCTCATCAACAAACGAATGGACAGAGAAGCTGTGGCATATTCACGCAATGGAATACTATGCTGCATTGAAAAAAAAAGGAAGTCATGCAATATTATTCAAAATGGGTGACCCTGGAGGACATGATGCTGAGTGAAGTATCTCAGTCACAAAAGGACAAATACTGCATGGTGCCACTGTTGTACAACAGGACTGACCTTGGAGTTGGGGAGAGACTGAG